TGTGGTCCGGTGTGATTCCTAGTGTCCTCGTCTGAAGCAGTGCAGCCGTACGGTAAGAGTGTTTCAGCTGATTTATTACAAGTACCACACAAATAAATGTGCATCCACAGATTTACAGTGCATGTAGAGTACTGGGACTACAATCAGACAATCTAACATTGTTGTGTTAATAATGTCAAAATCAAATAATGACCATGCTGCATGTTGCACAAGGCACTTTCCTCTCAAAAGAGAAATAAAGCAGTTTGTGTAGAGTCGAGGTGGAGGTGTTAACACTTGTGGCCTTTCATTATTCCTTTGCGTAAGTTTTTCTCAAAGCCCATCGGCTGTTGTCTGAACACAACATAGCCTCTGCGACTGAAGGCTAATGTTTACATTTCTGTAGTTACTTATTTTCTCTTTTTCATTTGCTCGTCACTGCCACCGCCTCCTTCTTAACTTGAGACAGCCATGATATTTACATGTTGTCTGTTTGTATTTTCTACCGGGGCTCACAAGTGCAACTGGCTGCAATGGCTCAAATGATTTGTATTCGAAGAAACAGATAAAACAATTCTGAGAAGGTGGAGGTTCAAAAACCCGGGCACAAGTCAAACACATATGCAACGACTGAAACGTGCTGAAAATGGAAAAAAACATGCAGCAGAGAGATGACGCAAATGCATGAACAGCAAAAGCGCTTAAATGCGTAAACATAATCATTAAATGGTGCAAGGTAGAGAATCCCAAAAACCCTGACAACACAGTTGAAAGAAAGAAGCTTCATATCCGGTCACGTCCTTGAACTGGAGCGCTCAGTGACAAACCCAAACATGAGATGAAATATACATTTTATACCTTGTCAGATAGCTTTGTGTCCATATAGGAGCTTTTTAAAGCACATTTTTCTTCGTTGTTTTCATTTCAAAGGCGCACTATGGAGTTTTGGGGGTGAAATTTGAAAGTTGGAGAAGTGAAACAATTCTAAACTAGATTTTCTGAACTGAATACACAAACTTTATTCAAAGAAAAAAATGGGTCCCTGGAAAGCTGTTTAAAGCTTAAAAGCTACCAGGATGTAACATTTACAGGGACCCAATTTTCCTCTGAGGACAGTTTGTGTATTCAGTTATGAACATAAACCACAGAATCTGTACGTTTCTACCAAAACTACATCGTGCACCTTTAAAAATTCAGAGGATTAGTAACTTTGCAACCAATGATTAAAAGCATTAAATTTAGCTGCTACAAATGGGGTCCATTGGCTACTTAAAGGAAAATATAAATGACCACCAAATGCTCAGAATTGTTCTCTGCAGGAATCAGAATTAGTCTTTTCTAAGTCCTGAACACTGTAAGAACATTGCCATCTTACTTTTTGTGTCTGAAGGAGTACATAGCACAAGTATGGGTGTCATCAGTGTTGTGAGGTCCAAGTTTTGAGATGTTGTGGGATTCATTAGTAGTCCAGGTCCAAACACCATTAACTTTGTGCAGATCGACCCACACAGAATGATAATTTGAAAAGTGTGTCCTGTGCCAATCCGACTGACTGTAGAAGAAGGCCAGGTCAATGCTGTGACTGTTGGGACAAAAAGAGAAATTGGTTTGATAAAAATAAAAGAATATTCCTGAGTATGTTATGCATGCTACCCTGCACTTTTTTATCAATAAACACAAGACAAGACTTCAGAGATGCCATTAGTCTATGGTTGTGCATCGATCGCATGGACTTAATGTCACTGCCCCCTTTCCATTCCCTTGAGGTGAATTCTCCTGATCTTATCCTGCTGCATTCTGGCAACAACTCACTCGAACTTTCTGCAGAAAAAAATAGTAAAGGGGGGTTGACAGTAGAAGTAGGGGGCAGCAGTAGCTCAGTGTGTAGGGACTTGGATTGAGAACCGGAGGGTCGCCGGCTCAAGTTCAGGTGCGGACCAAAATATGGAAGTTGGTCTGGTAGCTGGAGAGGTCTCGGGTACTGTCACTCCCTGTGTAGCAGCCCCACTCTGACGTTTCTCCACTTACGCACATCCACATGTTCTGTTTGTGCATGTGTGTATTCCGGGCTTTTGTGTGATAGAAGCACGTCTCTCAATGACAGCGTGTGAACCAGAATTTCCCTTAGGTTAATATGTAAAACAGGAGAAACTAAAGAGACGGACAAAGTCAGAGTTATAAAACGTGGCTGTTTGCATTCCCACATGTAGCTCACCCTCAAGGTTTTTTTTTCCGTTTTAGGTCATCATTTCAGCACTTTTCTGTAACTTGTATCGATATATCTATCTCTGAGTATGTAGTAGGCAATACATTAGTACAGTATGTGGTTTGGGACACAGCACAGGAGATGGAAATTTTGATTCCCAGTTTGTTGGCAATACCAAGTGAATGTTGCATTTTTCAAACAGAGGCGCTTGCTCATGCAGACTGAGATTCTACTGGTTCATATACTGTATTTCTTTGTGAGGTAGATTCTTCTCTTCGTTCTGTCTGTTCACATTTTATTTCACAATGTTATTGATATCATTTGTGAAACATCCAGCCAATATTCTCTACAACAACAGACTCTGACTCCTAAAAGCTATTGATGTGATTGTGTGTGAATAAAAAGTGAACTCCACCTCCTGCAGTAGCTTTGAGCTTCTGTCCAGTTGTAGTAAAGCTCATGGTAGCTGTAATAACTCCACACCACTGATCCCAGTCCAGACACAGAGCTGCTGAAGAGGAGGAGGAAGACTGCTGAGAGGCTGCTCTTCATCGTCATCATCAAAGTTCTGTTGAAGAGAAAAGGCATCACGTTGAAGCATGTTGGGTTTAAATATGTTCAAGCATATTTGTGATCTTTTTTTCTTTAACCTAAATCGAATGTCCAGAATTCTTGTAATCATCCTTATAAAAAAAAAAATTAATTGACATCATTCAACTACAAACTAGATCAGCCAGCATGAGCAACAGTTGAGGGGAAAACACTTGGCTATAGGGTTTACTGAGCTATACAAAATATCCATTACATAATACTGGAAGATGAAGTGCTGCACAACACCCCGAGGGAGGGATTTAGTTTAGTTAATGAATCTTCTGAGAAAAAGAAGCTTAAACAATTTTTTTAAAGAAAAGATTTAATTGGCAGCTGATGTTATTAACGGAATAAAGTCAAATAAGTTACCAACCCCCCCAAAAAAGATTGGAGGTTATCAATTTATTTAAAATCCCAAGATAAGAATCTCGATTTTTACATAAATCGATATTTTTCCCCTCTACTCATTTGCTTGCATAGCCCAATTCAGCAATGTGATTACCAAAGGATGAAAAGGCAGGAACCTCACACACACACAAACACAAGCATGAACACCTCAGACGTACAAAGAAATATAAAAGCGCATTCAATGTTTAAATATAAAAACACATACAAGTTTATTTAAAAATGTCTTTGTCTTCACTGGTGTCTTCCTCAGAAAATGTTTTACCACCAAACATTTATTTTCCCCGGCTGTGTGTTTGAATCCCATCGCTGCCAAGTGTTTGTGACATCAGTAGTAACCATACTCAAAACTACAAATAACCACTTAAGTACTTCAATATCTACTTGTTAATAGTACTCGTGTCAAATTCTAGATTTAGGGAAGAATTTGCTCAACCAGAAAGCAAATGCATAAAGTCGTCCAACTTGTGGATAAATTATAATTCCCTACTTCTTAACACTGCTCATCATGTCAGGTCAAGGCGGTAGCTTGGGTGTTAATGTGTTCGTTCTGAGTCCTCACCTGTCAAGATGAGTCGTCCTCGAGTCTCTGCTGCTGCGATCTATTTCCTGACAAACAGCCGATGCAGCTTTATAAACCTTCAACGTCAGGTCCTACGACAGGAGCTATCAGAACCTTCATTTGACTGGTAGGCAAGCTTAAATCAACACCAGCTCCCTGTCAGGCTTTCACCACCCAACATTTGAATGTTGGCAAATTAAATAGATTTACCTACGCATAGTACTATTCAGAGTCAAGTCAGGAAAGACTGGAAGTGTTTGAAATCAACAGGTCCATCTGTGTTCTTCATACTCTGAACTTCAAAGCAGAGTCAGTCGCTGCATAGAATATAGACTTATAAATGAATGAAAACCTAGCATATAAACACAAAACAAACAAACATATACAGTTCAGCACATTAAAACAAAACCATACGAGCTCCCCCAACCTTCAGCGAGGTGCCCAGCCAATACCGTTGGACCGTGTTGTCCCACAACCAGCGCTGTCCTCGTTCATGCACGACCTGCTCAGACCTCCACCTCAGCGGCAAGGAAGTTAGGACAACCGTAAGGAGAAATCCTTCCTGCATATTATCCGATATGCTATTTTGTAAAGCGTCTATACAAATAATGATTGATTGATGTAAAAACATAATCAAAGCATCACATGATTAAGTGAGGGATTTCAGTAGAAAGTTCAATCAAGTGCTGAGTGCCAAGTTCATACTGTATCATCGTCAGAGCTTATTTAGCAGCTAATGGGATGGGACACCTCTTTTAGTCCTCATCCTGGTCATTTTGCACCGACGCCCAAAGTCAAGAGTTCATACTCAGACCAAAGGGGGTACAGAGGGTCTGCTGTAATCTTGTTGGCTAAATTCAGGGTGTACTGGTCCGTCAGGTAAGAAATCCTCAACATTTGATTCCCAGTTATCTCGCAGCCTACAACCTTGTCTGGTTTGTTCTTATTTAGTACAGACGATGGTCAACACACTTTCCATGAAACTTTTGTAAAATAAAGTTACGTTGAAATGACAGTGCCATCTAGTGTTTGGCGAAATGATGCAAGAATAACAGAAGCGTTAGGGAGGAAGTAATCTCTTTGGGGTCTGGATCGTTAGCATGGGAAGTATTTGTGTTTCTACTACATTTTGTAGTCTGCGATGTATTGACCAATCGCGTGTCTGCATGTGAATATTTTAATTTAACTTGTGATATATTTAATTTAGTAATAAAAATACAAATGTACTATAAATAATACTCAGCATAACAGAATAAATCGTTTTGCATATTACCTTTTATTATGCATGATTTCATCTCTGACACCTTTTTACCGCTTCAATCACATTGCAAATATACTCCGGATAACATCTGGAACAAGGAGAAAACAGCCATTGGTAGAAACATTATGTGGCTGTCATGTTCAACATTGAAACTTAATAAAGCAGTGGTTCTCAACTGGAGGGTCAGGACAATGTCTGTGAATCACTTCTTCAACATGTTTGTTTTGTTACTTCTCTTATTTCTGTCCCATGTTTTGTCTCATCCAGCAGTGAATCTAGAGTCTGTTTGGGCCCTAGGCAAAAACCAATTGGGGGGCCCTCCAGCCTGACACCCTCCAAACTGTGTTCAGAGGGGCAACAAGAGTGAGTGCTGTCAGATGGGGCCCCCTTAGGGAGTTTTCCTACTGTCTTTGCAAAATTTGCATATTTTCAGTAGCTGCTTTGGGGCCCCAACTTCAATTTCAACTTTCAACTTCATAGAGCGCCACAGGAATGAGTCCTAAAACCTGAAGTAAGTTAGCATTTAAGCGCCATTGGGTCTAATGTCTAAAAGTCAATGGGGATTTTGAATGGGTTTGTGGTGAGACACCTGAAATAAGTCTGTGGTTAACACAAGCTGAAGAGATGTTGGCGTTTTGTTTGACCATAAACTACGTCAGGCAATACCCCCACTTGGGAATTTTGAAGTTTTTACGCATCTTTAAAAAGGCGGTTGCTAACAAGTGGCTAAATGTGACTACAGTGGTTGTCGGGGACATTAAACGTCATCACGCTGGACACAAACGCCGGGAACTCTCTCACTAGTCGGAGATGTCTCCTGTAGGTTTAATCTTTAGGTTAAGGCAAATATTTGGTTAGTAAACAATTTATTAAGCTACGCAGATTAGTTTATCAGAGTTCGTCTGAAGCATAACGGTAGTGACGTCTCAATCATCCAACCGTGGTGTAGTTAGCTTGTAGCATAACGTTAGCTTTTTACTTCTGTCGGCCGCATTAACGCTTCAAACATCATAAAAAAATGGTGATCATCTGTGAAGATTATCCTGCTGAACAAAACGCCTACACTTCAGAAACGTGCGTTTGCCACAGACCTTATTTTCTGCAATGATCCAAAATCCAATGCAAAAATCCCATAGGTGAATTCTCGTTGGACCCCATGGCGATGCTACTTCCAGGTTGGCCTACAAAAATAAGTCATATGGTCTGTTCTCTATCGTCCATGAGGGGAAATTCGTTAAGCAGCCAGGTGAGAACAATATGCCCCAAGCAACCGGTTGAAACATATCAGAAATTTGGGTCGCTATTTCTCCCTTAGAACTCCTGAGGCTACACAAGTTGAGAACCACCGACATCAAGCATTGCAACTAAAATGTTCGATGCAGATCAACATCCTGCAGTTTGAAGAGCTGATCCATTTGATTTAATGGTACGACTTAAACAATGGTTAAAAATCTAATTTCCATTGTCTGATGGCTACAAGCCTCAGTAGGGAAATTTGTCTCCTTAAGAAAAACAAGGTAGAGACTTGTTGACAAAGTTTACAAGATGTAAAGTTACAGTAGCTGTAAGAGAAGAAGTTCTTGTGGACGGTCGATAAATAAAGAAGGATCTCAGTGTAAGCATCAATACTTTCAGATGTTAATCAAGCCAAGTACGATTTAGTCTCACCCGGGCGGGACATGCTCATCTCCAGCTGTTTGAACGATTCACCGGTCAACGTTCGGATCTCGTCCCTCAGTCGCAGGTGACCGTCCAGAGTCAGGTGCCAGAAACACGACTTCCTCTTTCCATCTCTGCACAGCTGGTTGCAGGTTTTTTTGAAGCTGTTGTTGAAGCAGAGGTTGTGTCTGATGGTGTTCTTCCAGCCATCAGGAGCGGTCTGAAAGAAGGGGAAGTGCTCTCTGCCATAGGACAGGAAAGGAATATGAGAAACATGCTCGAATGATACTCAAACCAGCGCCAGTCTCATTTCAAATATAAATAATGAAAAGAATAGTCTGGTCAGTGGCCAAACTCGTTCAAGTAATAAGGGCAAAGATGGCAGTCAGAGAAGTAAGGGTACAATATTTGGGTATAATTGTTGACCTTTTGCCAAATTATTTACAATACTTGTACTTTGGGGTTGGAGTCGGACTCTCTGATGGCAGTAACAGAGAGGAGGATGCTGTCTAAGTTGAGTGACATCTTAGATAGTGTCTCACACCCACTTCTTGATGTGCTGGCAATACACAGGAGCACATTCACAGCAAGACTGATTCCCCCACAATGCACCTCAGAACACCACAGGAAGTAATTCCTGCCTGTGGCCATCAAACTCCATAACTCCTCTCTTTGAGAGTCAGACACTTCAGCTGGACCTGGACTTATTTTTACACTTAACTGGAAACTTCTCCATTGTGTAATTTGTTGTTTCAACCGTGCAATCTGTCTGTAAACCAGTCAAAACTTTGTTCAGTCACAGAATTAATTTCATTGAGCCTTATATAAATATAAATATTGTTCATATCTTCAATTCTCTGTGCTTTGTACATAGCTCATTACTTCTCTGCACTTGGTACTTATTGATTTTTTTTATTTCATACATTTCCTACTTCCATACTGTGTATGAGAGCAACTGTGGGGACCATATTTGGGATTGCTATAGTATTTATGGTTCTGATACTTAAGCTACCAAGCTAGCACTTACTTTGGTACCCCATGAACTTTATTCCTGAACCGAATGAAGTAATCAAGCTTTGCATCGCTAATCGAACCAAATGCTATCGGACAATGATTTTTGTGCTTCCAACAGTCTAAAAAAGTGAGACGTTTATCAGCAAATAATCGTTGAAAATTGTACTTATCTCGTTTATACATTAGATAAAGGAGAGCAATATCAAAGCTTTCCTTTATCTGAAGGACCATCATGTGAAAAACTGACCATTGGTTAATCAATCTCATTCAGTCTAAATTAATCTGTGGTCCTCCTCTCTCAGACTCTGACCTGGTGAAGTTGTAAATCTGCTGGACTTTAAGGCTCCCGGTGTGGCTGCTCTTCAGCGCCAGCGCGATGAGGATGCAGTAGTTCACTGGTGGACGAGGCCAGCATCCTGGCTTCAGGTTTTTAATGTCCTGAAAAAAAGCAAGACACATCTTCAACTCTGAAATATTAAATGTATGCTGCTTGTGCATGAATGTTTGAATAAATCCAGAGCACACAAACTGGATTATCTTAAAGTTACAGATATTGATTTTTAATAAGGATACATAAAGCCCCCAACACTTGAATAAAAAAAAAAACGTATTTATAACCTATTTTCAAAAACGAAGAGAGAAGCAATACTGGTCAAAATCTGGACAGAATTTTAGTTGGGTAAAAAAAGGCTAAGTTACATCATCAGGTCTCCATAGGAGAGGTTTGATCAGATTTAATCGACAGTTCTAAAAATAAATCACACAACTTTAACAAAATGATACCATATGCTCATTGGTGCACAGAAATAAGTGACTGAAATGTATCGACTTCCAATCAGAGAAAAGATATAGGAATGAAAACATCCTCTTGAGAAATGAGTAAAACAGCTCTATCTGTATGGATTTGTAAAACACCATCACTCATAAAGTTAACAGACAAAGTATAAAGTTATAAAGACTTGAAAAAAATCATTAGAGACTTTAATTCTCCCCATTAAAGAAACATGGATCTGTTCTCACCCTGACCTTTGTGCTCCTTCCTTTACGTCTGTTCTTGATTGGTCGACAGGAGACGTCTTCCTTTTTTATCTAAAAGAAAAGGCGATGACATCACATTAAGAACTGCATTATGGTAAATGGTATTTATTTTAAAGGTGGATTCTGTCTCAGGTGTAACCTTTTTAACAACAATAAGCCCTCTGGTTGCTCTTCTTGCACACATCCAGATTTTAACATATCTTAGAAACATTTTATGATTTCTTGACTGATTTTCCTGTGATGTTTTATATTGTTTCATTTTGTGTTGTGTCCTGATTGTAACTCGGTTTTTATTTGGATTTAACTGCTGATGTTGTCCTTGTGTTTGTCGTCTTTGTGTTCCTGCTGCAAATCAAATAAAGAATCTGAATCTTTGCATTTGAATTATAATTCATCCATTGCATGAACAGCTTCTTTTTTTAAACCAGGTATAACACTACATTTGAAACTGGTGTTAATGCCCTTATTGGGTATTGCAACAAGGATATTCCTAGACCAGGTTCGAGTAGTTTGATCTAGGGTAAAAGGCCAGTTTAGATTCTTCACCTTGGTATCTCTGATGGTTTTTAGTACAGCATATATAAGACATATAGAGGTGCCTCTTTAAGTAGTTTGACTATGTGAGCGTGTTTCCTCTTTGTGTAAATAGGGTTTGTATATTCATGTGTGTTTCTATGGGATTAAGGCGTTTTCACGGTGTAATATTCACCAACATGATATCCCGTCTTCATTTGGAGGTACACATTTTTCTGCAACATCTGTGACCATGTGATTACTCACGTGGCTGCCTTCATGTGTATCTAAGCGGGCTCTGTGCAATGTGACCTTAGTCTGATGAAGCGCTGGAGTATTGGAGCCCTGCAGTGTGCGAGACGCCTTTCACTTTGTTTTTTCCCTGTTACATTCTTAACACATTAAAGAGAAAAATCTGGCTCTGTCAGCTTCTCTCTGACGTCTCAATCTCCCAGAGAAATAACAAAAGACCCTGGAATCATTCTCCACCTTTACCTTGGGAGCACAGTCTGCAGACTTTGCCTTCCTAATTTCCATGTGAAGACTTGTTTATAAGAGGGCAACATCTAAACAAACAGACTTATTAAAACCAGGTGTTCATACAAAAGCATGTGATCAGATATTCTTAGGTCACAGATCCTCTTTTAACTGTTTGAATAAACTGATTGTCACATTTAGATGCTTTGCAAAGCTGTTTAAGTCTTAAATACGGTGGCCAGTAGGGGTCAAACACTCAGCAACTGATGAAACGACATACATATAGAAAAATGTGCAGCATATATAGAAATGCTGCACATTCAAAAGCAAATGCAAACTACCACAACAAATGCAAAGGCTGAAAGTGCTTTTGATGCTTATGCAGTTGTTTTGCCTATTTGCAGCGCGTTTGTTTTTTTTGCAGCGCGCTTAAGCCTTTGCATTTGCTTTTGAAATGAATGACATTTCTTTAATGTCTGAGAATGGACTAAGGGCATTTTATGATTCAATTCAGTAAATATCTTACACTTTGCTCCTTTAAATCTAACATGAGGATCATTTATCTTTTTCCCCTAACTCCCATGATGCATCGCTGCATTTCTTATGTTACCAGCACATTTAAAACAGAAGAAGTGAAAACATTATAGAACAGAGCATCGAATCACCTGCATGTGTGTGCACAAGAGAAACTAAATATAGACTCAATAAAAAAAAATAGCTCATAATTTTGCTAGAGGTTGGAAAAAAAAAACTTCACTGAGCACCTTTAAAATATTCATGTGCTGAGAATTGACACTGAAGAAGGCCACCTGACACACAGTATTCCTACTGTATAACAGAAGAGTGATTATCGGTGTGTGGTGATTACTGCACCTTGTACTCAGTGGAGGAGGACACAGACTGAAGCAGATCCTGCTGCAGAGGAGAATCACGGCAGCTGAAGATGTGACGCTCTTTAGTAAGCTGATGTTTGGTCTCTGCTGGCTCTGGTACAGTCTTTTGGACTTCCTCTGCAGGTCCACACAGCGGCTGCAGGTCTGCTTTACTTGCTCCGTAGTGGATGGGGCAGGCGATATTTGGATTCACTAACAGCCACAGGTTCGGCTTCACAAAGGTGTCTGATGGACAGAAAGATCATGGCCGACTTAGAGCAGGGGGTTACCAAACTTTTCATCTTGCGACCCCCAACATTTAAGGTGCCAGGGAACACTGGGTGGATACAAAACATAATCGACACACGGGAGTTTATCTGTATGTGTAAAGAGCAGCAGACACCCACACTGTTGCTGTTTTACACATAACTGTCATTTTAGTAAAACTATAATTTTCTTTTAAATGAATCAACTCTTTTGTATATATTTAGACATTAAGGGGTTAAATGCGCAGCTTTGCATATTTTTTTGGACAGCATCTTGCGATGTCGCCTTGAGCACCAACATTAAACCAAAACAAACTGCTGTTTGGCCACACCTCCTCCATACTGAAGCCTCCGCTCTCCTCCTGCAGCACACCTCCAACCCCCCTCCACTCACGTTTACACAAAGGAGTTATCAATTAGAACGCACCATAAGCAACATTAAGGACAAGCAGCGGACAAAATCGTCCTTTGCTTGCGCTGCAATCACCTGTGTCCTGCATTGTTGTGTTAGCATGCTAATGTTAGCCCACTTTAGCTAACTTGCAGCTTCATATTGCACATAAATTGACACAGAATGACCGTGATCTAAAGACACATGACATCCAAATAATCATGAGTATGTTCTTCTTCTTTTCTCCAGTCCTGGACTAAAACAGCTTTATCTACAAGGCCGTCCCGTCCATGTAAACTCCAACAACACTACAGCTGGTGGGACTCGAGCTTCTCACTCATTGTAGACAGTCATGACTCAGAGACACATTTACACAGACAGACTTGATTTCTGTTCACAGACGGACGGCAGGTTCTGTTTAAGAACGTCTCACCTTCATTGTCATTTCAATCTGTCCTCTCTGCTCACCTGATGTTTTATCATACCAAATGAATTCATCTTTCCTTCTCAAGGCTCTCGCAGAAGGCCTCTGGACCACGTACTGATCGTTCAGTTTGTCATCTGTTAGGTATAAAGCAACATATCATATCAGTGCACAATAACAAGCTTGTACATTGCACTTTAAAATCAGTTCATCTTACATTCAGAGTCCTTGACCTCTTTCGTGAGGGAATATGAGACATTGAATTAAACTCATTCACACATTTTATTCTCTCTATTAATCAGTGTTTTAAATGGGACATAAACTGAGTCCTTAATGGTTGTCTGTGCTGTTAGGAATAAATGGGGGTGAATGACGATCATCCATTATCTTACACCAAACCTGAAGCCAAACACCACAGAGAAGAGAAAAACAGTCACCGTGGTAAAACTGGTCGGCGGTGGTTGCCAGTTTCAGCTCCTTGTCCATGTCCCAGTCGGTCAGGCCCACAGAGCAGTGCAGGTCAAAGAGCCGAGCTTTGGTTTTCAGCTGTAATGTCATGGCAGAGCGTGTTTTACGTCTTTGTTTCATCTCAACTTTTTTTTTTTTTTTTCAGAAGCTCTCTGGAATAAAGTGCAGGTTAACCGACAGCTCTGAAGGCTGCTCATCAACAGCTGGAGCTCAACAGGCTGATTGGACTCATCAAGCTTAAAGAGAGTCCAGCCTGTGCTGAATCACTCTTAACAAGGAGGTTACCAGAAACATGTTCTGGTTTTACCTGCTTACAAGTAAAGGTGCATGTAAGATGGAAGAAGTGTCATAGAGTGAAACATCTCGAGCAGCACTTGTTTAAAGAACTTTGTTTGGTTCATGGCACCCTTCAGGCTACAGCTCCACAGCAGTGTGAAAAGGTTACGATGCATAAACTCTTAATGTATTGTAATGTTTGTTGTTTTAGATCATCCTGGACCACATATGTAAATTCGCCTTATAGCTAACTCTGGCTCAAACAGTCAGAGTATAAGTGTTTGTTCTCGAGATCAAGACCAACAAACTTTGTTGTTGGTTCTCTGAATGTTTCTCTTCAGACATGCACATGATCACAATTTCTGATGTCCCGCTTTTTCATCTTCTTCCCTCCTGTCATGAAAAGTGCTGTATAACCTTTAAGGGTTTAAAATAGACGATAAATTCATAGAAGTAAATGTGTGTGTGTCCAGCTTTTGCAAAGGGACAACTTCATCTGACAGTCAAAAGCATAACAAGTTTTTCTGAATCCATCTTTTTATATAATGGTGCCAAGAACAACAACTATTTATAGGAGATTCAGATGTGAGGGGCACATGTGAAAAGTATGTTCTTCTTGAGCAAAATAAAGGGTTCACTGATGATGGAAGAAAGATATTAGCAGTAGTAATGTCTGAGTAAAACAGTACTTTAAAGGTCCTTTTCAACAAGTGTAAATAAGTCTCAGAGCTCCTCAAAACATGTGTGTAAAGTCTCTTGTTCTAAATCCACTCGATCCTGTATTTGATCATGTCTATAAACCCCTCTATTTCAGCCCTGCTCAGAACAGGCTGTTTCTGTGTCTGTACCTTTAAATGTAAATGAGCTGTGTCTGACCACGCCCCCTCTCTGGAAGGGCTTGGGTGTACTCGGGCTTTCTCGCTCCATGTCCTTTTGTTTACAGTGAGAAGGCAGACTCAGAGGGCAGAACAAACACCTAGCTGTGGGAGTGTCACCCACATGGGGGAGGGGTTACTGCCCTTTGTGATGTCATGAAGGGAAAATCTCCAAAAGGCCTGTTTAAGCACACATTTTCTGAAAAGTGGAGCAGGCAAAAGACGGAGGATGGACTTTTCTATGATTAGGGATTTTTGTAGACAGATTGTGTTAGAAAATCATGGTTAGTGTATTTTGGATAATATGTGACCTTTAATAAACTGTAATTTACTGGATCTTTCTGTCCTTCATCTATCATCTGTAAAAAAAAAAAGTGAAATGAATAAAAAATGTTTGAAGGAGTCTTTAAATGTCTCCAGACCTGCGTGAGTGCAGTTCAGTCTATTTAATCGTCTCGTCACATTTACAATACACATTTCACAAGTAAGAAAGAAACAGATCAAAACGGCAACAAATCCATTTTTACAGCATGAAAAAAAAAAAGAAAATCACGTACTCATCTTTAAATATTTCTATATCTTTGTATACTTTAAACATCAAGTCTGTCACATACTCGTGGTAGATTCTCCTCATTTCAGTACGTTCATTTACAGAAAGTCAAGAGTTCACACAGGAACAGAGACGAGAGGACCGGAAGCTTCTGTTCAGAGCTAACAACACCTAGTTAAGACAGCTATCAGGGGAGGGGGATGGGGGGGGGCTCACACACTTCACTCTGTTGTTTTCTGGGAGGGGGGAAACTCAGAAATGACCAGACATGCTGACAGTTGGAGCACAAAACAGAAATAAATAGCCATTATAGGGGACCTGGTGGAGGCCGATGCTGAGCAGAGGAATGTTTAAATTCCGCTTCGTTCTGAGGATCTGGGGTACTCACAGATTTTTGGTGTGGGAGATAAATCCAGAACATATATCATATTGCACATCTGTAGGTGTTTCAAGTGCCTAGCATGGTTGGTGTTTAATGTCCGGGGTTTACATCAAATTGAATCAAGCTTTACCACACCCAAGACTCTTCTGACCCAGTTCACTGTGGGGTCAGAGTATAAATTGGAAACACTTCTCATGGTGCGTCAGGTTGGTGCATCAGAAAGTTTACACAATCAGAGGCGAGTATTTGGAAGTCAAATGTACTCCGTCCAGTTTACCTCGTCAGCTGATTAAAACCTGAACCAGCTACCTCTGAACATGAGCCTAACACTCGGTCTTAAAGTCTATGATACGTTCAACGTGTTTGACTGAAGACTTGGGGCGTCCCGGACAGACTAATTAACACCTACCAGTGAAGAATGCAGGGAATTTAGCATCAAACCATCAGAATCTTTAACACAGAGATGGAAAGTTCTTTAAGACTGAAGGAAATGACAAAGGGAAGAGGAAGCAAGGAGGAAGAGGAGGGTTTAGAAGATGGGAATGTAGTTGTCGATCTTGGCGCGGTGCCGCTGGGCGATGCACTCGGCGATCCACACGATGTTCCTGCACTCCTGCTCCTTCAGCTTGACGTAGGCGTAGAAAACGCTGAAGTGGAACTGGTTGAGGAAGGCCAGTTTGTTCAGCTTCACCTGTAAGTGTGGAAAGGACTGATGAGTGACCATGGCAGACATACTTTACCTTATTGCAGTACTTAGTAACCATATCGACAGAAAACAACTTTCAATCTGCCACTTCAGACTAGCTTTATCTTTTTGAAGTGTAACATGTCCCAGTCTTAAAGTGTTGACCCTGAACAGACTTTTTTACAGACTGTGTTTCATGTCTGTTACAGTCTCTCTGATTCAAATTTTCATCTTTTATTGTGAAGCACTTTGTGAAGTTTGTTCTAGAAAGATGCTTTATCAATAAACTGTTCTCAACAAATTAATGTTATCAGTAGAATTCTTGTCCTTTTCTTTTTTCAAGCTGTCATTGAGCCTTGCATTATTAAGAGCCATGCAGGCTTTAGATTAAACAAATCAAGTCTCAAAATGAAACTTAGAAGTCTACAACACACAGTAAGGATCAAAGAATCAAACCCTAAACAAAACACTGTGAAGTGCAGATTTGTAAAACAATCTGTCTCACGTGTACTTCTCTGAGGGGACACTCCGCTTGAGCAGAGCGTCTGCTAATTTCAAAGGAGCAATCTGTAACTCTGACACCTAGTGTTTAAAATGGGTACTGCAGTTAAGATTAAAAAATTGTAGAGATCTGTCTCCCCCTGCCCCCTCCTCTCTAGAGTTGATGCTCATGCAGGTTGCACTGTGGTGGACACTGAAGCTTCAGTGTTTATCCAGCTTTGCATCGGTCTGTAAACCTTTCTGTGTTCTAACCTCTCTCCATTTTTCAAAAGCATCTCCAATGTTGATCCTAGTTTGAGCACGTTTCTGCTCGTGGAGCTTATTAGAAACATGCAGAGGCTTTTTAGGTCGAGTAGCATCAGTTCTATCTGACCCAGTTTGCTTGCCCGTTTTCCGTTTGACAAACCAAGGGGAGTCCAAAACAGCAACGTAGGGGTGCCTTAAAACCGCCTACCTTCTCTGGTCCAAACAAATGGAGACCAGAATCTAAACTTAGAAGCTTCTGATGTGACTGGAATCACTGAAGGTGGAAAAATCGTAATATTCAGCTAACAGCCGCAACCAAAAACTCCACCTGTCATACAGTTACAACATCAGACTTTTCAAGAGTGTGTCACCTCATGCTCGAAGAAACGGTCCTCCAGAGTTTTGTCTCCTGGGTTGCTGCCGGCTCCCTCGAAAAGCAGCTTGTACTCCTGAAGACAGAAAACACCATCAGGACAAAAGAAATAAGTGAACAACACAAACCAGCAGGACTGATTTCAAAGTTTTTAAGAATCTGGTTAGGACACTAATCACACAAATGGATCCAAACATAAGACATTACATCATATAAATGCTAAAATGATATATTATTAAGGCTGATTAGATCTCAGTGAGCCATCAACTGTTGGACTTACAGGATAGAAATCAGCGACGGCCTTGACCTGCTCATAATCATCTGCCCGGGCCAGCTGAGCAAGGCCTTCTGGGTAAAGCTTTCCACAGTGAGGGAAGAGCTTGGCACGGTCCTCTTTGGACAGCTCCGTGCCGAAGGAGTTGATGGTGATGATGAAGGCTCTCCTGTCGGCCTCGAACTGCGGCAGAGAGACGAGGGTCAGAGGAGCAACGGCAACATACCGACTGAACAGACACTTACACATCTATAGACACTGAGCCTATTTAAAGGAACATTTAGGGATCAAACTCTCACATTTTTATCCTTTTCAATCCTCCTAAAGTAAATATAAAAATCTAATAAATCACTAAAAGCCAATTAAGAAATCATGCAATACTGTCCCAAACTGAAAGGCTGAAAAATGATGGAGAAGCAGTTAAACTCCAGATATGCTTTGTAGCAGAACTCTTTCCTGACACATCAGGTTTTAACAACAGCTGTGTGATTATGAATTTGTTTGCACGTGTGCCTGATTTGTATTTTATTTTTTTAAAGAGAGACTCACCTCCAGAATAGGGCACATGGTATCAGCTGTGGTTCCTCCGAGGTTGGAGCAAAACTTATAGAAAGCTTCAAGGTACGCCTGAAAAAGAGGAAAAATTACATTTACAACACCATCCCTGTTCATGTCTCAGTCAATATAATCAAGTATTTAGTTTATTCTCAGTATCAACAATGTCAGATGTGTTTTGCTTTTTCAGTTCTTTTACCATTTCCAGACATCAGACGATTCAATTTTATGCCTTTATAAATCAACTTTCTCTTTCTAAAATTGTTCTTAATCACTCAAACTCCCACAATAACTCAAATGTTTTACCTTGTAAAGTGTGTTACGGATAATTTCAATGTTCATCTCATCCAAGTCTTGTTCAGATATGCAGTCCTGGAAGAAAGCAGCTGAAAGGAAAAGAAAAATAATTTAGATCAAACACAAAGAAAGAATATCTGAATCTATCTTAAGCTTTGGCTCCACCTGCTGTCCTGAAGGAGACATTACAGTTCAGTTTTTACAAACATTAGGCTACAAACCCAGGGGCGTGTCCACCAGGAT